GAATTTTCTCATCTTCTTGTGGAGTCCTCTCATTAGTCCATATGTGGTTTAATGATATCCCATGTCTGCTTTGCATGGAAGCATGTTCAACAAGTTTTTGCAGAAGAAGCGATCATCGGATCGAAAGTTCACTCACTCATCCTTCCGTCATGGCCTGCCTCGTTGCTCCTTGGCATCATGCGCTGAGACGGCACGACGGACATGGTAGAATAAGAATCGGTGATGAATAAAAGGTTCCTGCTTCGTGGCGATTCCTTTATAAACTCCATACAGGTAAGAGATTAGGGCGTTCCAGACCAGTCTAGGCCGTAAGCCGGACCGAACAAATGCAAAAGAAGATTGGGCAAGACGCGCGTGCGCAAACGCCGCCATCCCCCGTCCGTCCCGTCAGCGATCACCACCGCCACCCACTTCATCCCATCATCCGCTTCACCTTCTCCAGCAGCACGTTACTCTCCCTGCCCAGCTTCGCCTTGCCGTTGCGGCCGGGCCTCTTGGCCTTTGCAACGGCGCGCCGCAGCCTGTCGCGGTCGGCCGTCTTGCGCGCGCGCTCCTCGCGCCGGGCCCGGGCCCGCTCGGCGCGCTCCTCGGCCGCCCGCCTCAGCTCTTCGGCCGCCTCGAGGTCCTTCTGGAAGTAGCCCGGCTTTTTGCTGGTGTTCTGGTTGCTTTTGTTGTTGTTGTTGGCGTGCTTACGCCGCCGGTCGCCGCCGCCGCCGCCGCCGCCATCGCCGTCTCGCTCCCGCCGTTCCTCCCTGGCGGGCGGCGCGTCGGGGTCCGAGGTGCCCGCCTGTTGGGGCTTTGGTTCGGTGGCTGTTTCTGTTGTCATCGTTGGCTACTCCGTTTTTTCTTCTTTTTTTTGTATGTGGTGATGGCGGGTGGTCATGCTCCCTCCTCCATACTGGATTTTCTGATCCACAGTGGGGGGTCCGACATGGACTCCCTTGCCACGAAAAAGGTACGAACCCACAACTCACTGGGCCCTTGAGCCGATAGCTTCCAGCAGTCAGGTTATGTGCAGGTGGCCAATCTCCGTACCCAAATGGCTAATTGCAGCGCTGTTCTGGCCATGTGAGTTTGCTGACTTTTCACCCTACTTTTTATTTGCTCCTCGGTTCTTCTCTATATTTTTTTTTGTTATTACCATCATAGTCTTTGGAATCGGAAGATCCAACGGCTCCACTCAGCCTTTCCGCTCTTCCCAAAATCAAATCATCCAAGGCCCTTGGCGGCACTCACCACGGCGGGGACAGTTTTTGGTGGGGAATTGGAGCAGGGAGACACACCATCAAGGTTGGCGCACCCCACCCAGCTGTTGCATGTGTCTGGAGGTGCTAGCGTGCTACATAGCTCGGTACTGTACTGTTACCACCTCGGTAGATAAGCAGGGGACGAAGGAGCGAGATCAACTGCTGTGTGCTGGCCAGCCAAATTGGAGCCCAACTTTCAATCTGACACGGCCAGAACCACAGTGATATCATCGCTGGTCCCGAGTCGGGGTTGAGGGTTTGTTTCCAGTCTTTCTTGCCAGTGGTTTGATCCTTTGGGATCCGTCCGTTTCCGTCCATGGAGCTTGGCCTTGTGCTTGCCGCCAGTTGCCTTTGGTCATCAAACCGGGTCGATGACTCTTTGCCAGCCAATTCTCGGCCAGACCGTGCTTCTGGCCCGCCACAGCTGCCAACCACTCGACCGATCCCGACTCGACCCGAACCGAACCGTGGGGGAAAGAGAAAACAGACAAACAAAGCCACCGACTTGACTTGACGACCATACGCTCCAATAATTGCCTGCTCTCCCATCCCTCTCGTTCGTCCAGCAAGCTTTCCAGACCAACACGCAGCGAGGCCAAGGGCAGGGGCAGGGCAGCCCCATCACGTCATGCTCGAGAGGTGGTCTCTGACCTCCTGAACACGCTCTCGCACCCACGATGCCCATGTTCCAGGACCCGACAGAGCTGCGTCACCGCTGCCAGTCTGCCTCGCCCGATGCCTCGGATGGCGCCCCTCCCGCCGCCGCCCGGCCCATCCCCATCCAGCTTTCGGCCTCGAGGCGCCTGTCCGAGGAGAGCATCCGCACCGACCTGTGTGAAGGCCCCCTACCCGACAGTTCGCCGATCAAAACCCCGAACCAGGACCCGGCTGTGGCCACCTCGGATCGCGCCGAGCTGATTGAGCGGCTTAAACGCGGAGAAAGCCCGACTTGGATTCCCAATCGCCATGTAAGTGTGTACCTTGAACCCGTCCACACCACGCGACAGGCCGTGGCTGATGCCAGCTTCCACCAGCTCGAATCCCTCTTTCACCATCGGAGCCCCCCGTCCCCCACGAGGACCCGTGTCCCCTCGGCTGCATCCCCGACGTCTCTTCTCCCAGCGGCCGACATTGCTAGTGAGCAAACCCCCCGTCCGGCCAGCCGGCCATCCGAAACCGACGCCCGTTTGCAGGACGGTCTAGGCATTGAGAGGCCTAGGTCGGCCCTGCACAGCGGGGATTTTACCCAGCACAGCGCCCCACCGCGTGCATATCAGCCAAGAGGGAGGGCAGAGGAGAGGCGGTGGGAAACAGGCCACCATGTACAGTATTCTTCTGCCTCGTGGCTGGCGACCTCGCCTCCGCGTCACTCTAACGCCTTCGATATTGGAGAACGGGATGGAAGTCGGAGACCTCCAGTCGGACAAAGGGGCTCGGTGGCACAGACTCCGTTCACCAGTCACAGGTCGGGTCCCAGCTCCCTGTCGTCCTCGTTTTCTGGCAGCTTTGCCTACGTTCACCCCACCAGCCCTCTCGTCCAGTCTGAGAGCAACGACGATGCCGACTTCACCGTGCCCATGAGCAGCATCGATATCGGCGACTCGGTCATGGCCAGGAACCCACGTCGCCACACTCTAGCGTCCCACGACTACGGTTCACCTACGCCGCGCGTCCGGACGGCCTCGGCCCATCCTCCGGCCCTGGAGCTGTCATCCAGTGCCCGGCGAGAAGGCACCTTCCCCTACCAAGCCCACCAGCCGCGCCGCTCCCTGACCACATTCCCCATCTTCTCTCCTGGCTCCACCGCGCCGCCGTCGGGCACACCCGCATACCTCAGGTCACGCCGGCCCTCGTTTGGCTCCGACTCGTCGCCGCTCCAGCACGCCTCCATGGTGGGGTCGTACGAAGAGAGTATCCTGCGTGGCCGCATGTCCACGACTCCGTCTAAACCGTTGGACTTTCTGGCCCAGATAGGAGTGCTGGGCATAGGCAAGTGCAAGTCGAGCCTCCGCTGCCCGCCGCATGTGACTCTTCCCTTTTCTGCCGTGTTTTACAGCTACTCGAGCACCTCGCACGGCCGGTCCAATTCTGAGGACGGTCCGAGCCCCTACGTTGGCATGATCGACCTTGAGAACGGCCTTGCAAAGCAAGGAGGCGAGGCCAACAGGGCCAGGAGGAAGCTGCAGTCTAGGAGTCTAGCGCGTCGTACAATGGAGGACCAGCCTGAGGACATTAGTATGGGTGGAGACTCCCCAACTGACTTGCCCACGGGCGCGCCGTCAGACGACGTCGGGCCACAGGCTCTTGCCAAAGCCAAGCGACGGTCAGCCTCCCCCAGGGCGCCGCCTGGCGGATCTTACCGTATCCCTGGCAAAGGTCAGCTGCAGATCATCATCAAAAACCAAAACAAGACGGCGGTCAAGCTATTCCTAGTACCCTATGATCTGGCGGGGATGGACCCGGGTACGAAGACCTTCATCAGACAGCGTATCTTCTCCGCCGGCATCCCCATCGACGGGGCTGTCGGCCAGGGGCTCTCTGAAGAAACATCCGAGGGTGCTGCTGCTGCTGCTGCTGCTGCTGCTGCGCGCCCGATCCTACGGTACCTCATCCATCTGCACATATGTTGCCTCTCAAAGGGACGCTATTATCTGTACAAGAGCGTGCGCGTTGTTTTCGCCAACAGGGTTCCTGACGGCAAAGAGAAGCTCCGCAGTGAAGTTACCTTCCCTGAGCCACGTTTCAGTACCTACAAACCCACGCGGGTCATGCATCCACCGGTGGCGACGGCGCACATGAGCGGGCCAGCCGTCCTCCTCGCGGCTGACAAGGCGTTCCGGCGCCGGAGCTCCGGGTTCATGCTCGACGGCAGTGCTGGTTCCCATATGTTGCCTTCGCCCAGTGTGTTGGATATGCTAGATGGCGGCGTCTCCCGCCCGCTACAGACGTCCAATAACGCCGGCGGTCGAAGCAGTAGCAGCATGAGCGCCGCCAGCAGGAGCCACCACAGTGGACGGTTCGCGGCCCCACCGCCGCCCGTTGGTTTCACCGCCCCCGGGTGCTTTGCCGCCTCTACCCCGAGCGGCGGCGGCGGCGGCGGCGAGGTGGGAGGAGTGTGTCCCAACACCCCCGTCGATCCGAGCCCGGTCCCGCCCCGCCTGCCCAGGGGCCGGCTCGAGAGCGTCACGAGCGAGGGTAGCGATTCGACCACGGCAGGCGCGCAGACGACCCGGTCAGGAGACGCCAATGAGCCTTCGCCCACGTCGATTGGTACGGGTACGGCGGCGACGGAATGGCCGGGTCGTGTATGCGGCGGCGGTGGCGACGACGGCAGCCGTCCTCTCGGCATCGGCGAAGACGGCCTCGGCCGCGGCGACGGCAAATCTGTGCTGCCCGCCTACAGCAAGCTGTCCAGGGGTGACGTCGGGTACGGCGGCAACGCCTTTGTTGCCGCGTCTTCCAGCGGGTTGCAAGGCGTGGCGGGGCCCGCCGAGGGCTTGCTCTCCCAGCGGCTTCGGTCCCTTGGCGTACAGGGCGAGTCGCCATGAGAAGGGCCAAGGAGAGGACCCGGCTCGTGTCCTATTATACATCTCTCTACCTACGCATCTAGATTTGCTTTGTTTTTGTGTGTCTGGCGTGATTTGCCTCACTTATCCTTGCTAGCCTTGCTTTCATCCGTCTTGTTCTTTTGTTTCTTCTTTTTTGGCGCTACTTGGAGTTATGGGCCAGCTTTCGCTGACGGCGGGAACATATCATAAGAGATACCAACATCGATAGTCCCTATCATCCAGCTCTTGGTCAAATCGCCTGGGCTTGGAAATTTGTATACATTATCAACGGGATGGATTTGAGCTTTTCTAATACACCTCCCTTCGCATATGGACCATGTATCTGTTATCCGTACATACCTACATATTTCTGATGGCGAAGTTGCGTGGATTATGAAAGCAACTTAAAAATCATGTCTATATCGTAACAATATGCCCGTGAAATGTACAGTTTACATACAGGTCTAACTGGGCGAAGTGGTGTACGCGACGCTTCCAACTTCCAGTGGCTTTGCTCGGCTCCCTGCACCTGAAGCCCCAAGCGGTTAGCCGCCTCCGCGCCTCACTCCCCGTCCAAAGGCGCCTTCTTCCCATCTTCTACGAGCCGAAGCAGCTCCTCGATCTTTTGCTCGCCCCCTGGGTCCTCAGCGGAGCCCTGCTCCTGCGGACGGGGTTTCTGCCTGGCCGCCACCGGGCCGCGCAAGAACTCCTCCCAGTCGTCCGACTCGGCTTCGCCCCCGGGCGGCGCGTCGGCGTGCTCGTCGCCCTCGGGGGGCGCGTCGGCGTACTCGTCCAGCTCGTCGAGGCCGTACCGCTGAGCGATCTCGCGCGGGTCCTGGGGTCGCCTCATGGTCCGGATGGCCTTGATGGTGCTGGCGGCGTCGCGCTCGACCTTTGCCAGCTCCGCCTCGGTCTCCTTGTACCAGATGGCGCGGCGGAGCAGGTCCTTGTAGTGGAGCCGCAGCTCGACAAAGGTGAAGGAGGTCGGGCGGCGGTGCTCGGGCGCCGTGCCCAGCCGGCGCAGGTCCGAGGGCAGCTTGGGGTCCACCTCGCGCGCGGCGAGCCGGACCTGGTACCAGCCGGTCCAGTTGGGCATCAACATCTCCTCGCACACCACAAAGGCCTCGTGCACCTTGCCCGCATGCGCGAGGGCCTGGACGTAGTAGTTCCAGGAGCGGCCCGTCAGGCTGAAGCCCTCGTCCAGCATGAGGCCCAGCAGCTCCACGATGCCCTCGCCGTCCTTCTCGGCCTTGAGGACCTCGAGCATCGTGTTGAAGCCCCTCGTGAGCAGATATTGGAAAGCGGGTAGGACTTTGACCTGGCCCTCTCCCGAATCGTCCGTAGGAATGGTGCGCCTCATCCGTCCCAGTGACGGGAGGGGGCGGCCCATCTTGCACGCCATGTCGAACAGGGCATCCCAGGTAGCCTTCACATTATCCAACCGCCCCTTGCCTAGCTCGTGCAACATGACGGCCTCCAGGGTACGGATCGCTCCGCGGTTTTGGCCTCCTGCGCCGCGCGCCGCGTTCTTGTTGAACGCCTCGAGAAGCTTGCGCACAGCCCCGTCCTTGCCCTGCTTGACGGCGAACATCAGAACTCCGGCAAGGAGGTCATCCTGAATTTCCGACATCGTTGCAAGATCGGAAGCCCCTGAGCTTGTTGTAGTGCTGGGCATCTCTACCGGAGGCGGCTGTTGCTGCAGCAGCGTGAGTAGATCGGCAAGCGCGTCAGAAAAGTTCACGTCCGGGTCTGGCTTTTGTTGCTGGAAGTGAGGCTGCCGATCCCACTGCAGCCGGGCTGATATCTTCCGCAGCGTGCGTTCGGCCGACGGGGGCAAATCTAGTCGGTCCATGAGCCGATCGACTCTCAACACCATATGTGGCTCCCCAGACTCGATGAAGGCAACCATGAGCGTCAGGAAGTGTTTCGCACTGGGCCTCAGGAACCCCTCGACGATGCCGGCCCGGAACAGGTGCAGGGCGTGATGAGCCTGGCGGCAGTAGGCCAGGGCCATCAGTAGGTGCGAGTAGGTCCATTGGTCGAACTGCACCTCGAACCCTGTCATGAGCTTGAGGGTGCGGTGGACTGCCTTCAAGTCACGCTTTTTGCCATAGTGCACCAAGAGCGTGTGCCACATGTGCCTTACCTCGGCCGCCCGCTTTTTGGAGAGCCGTGAGCCGGCTGCCTTGGTGGCAGAGGTGCACAGATCCAGCGCGTCGGCGAAGTAGCCGTTTTGGCAGTACGCATCTATGATATGTGCTCGCATTTCGGGAGTGATCTGCACCCCTCGTGACCTAGCCATTTGCTCGAGCCGCTGTAAGAAATCGAGGTCTCCCGTGCGGCCTAGAACGCTCATGATGGCTGCAAAGCTTTGCTCGTCCGGCGTCGCCACCTCGCAGAGGCGGGAAAATACGGTTGCGGCAGCCTGCATGTCGGTCTTTTTTGCGTATGAACTGAGGAGGATGTTGAAGTGTGCCGTTGTTGGCTTCACGTGGTAGCGCTGCTCCATAACATCGATGATCCTTTCCACCGCTTGCGTCCGGCCCAGGATCCCGTTGATCCGCATCAGGTAAGGAAGGACCATGGCGTGCTCACCCGGGTAATGGGACAGGAACTCCTTCTGCATCGCCTCAAAGGAGCGTATGTTGCCTGTCATGGCATAGAGCGAAAGATACTTCTTGTACCCCCAACGGTCCAGGTGGTCGTAGCGGGAGCGCCAGTCCTGGAGAACCGTCTCCATCCTCCGCGCGTCGCCATTCGGCCTGAAGACTCCGTCGATCATCAAGTGTATGATCGGAATTCTTATCTTGACCCCGGGAAGTTCGCGATATAAGAAATAGGCATACGTCGCCAGGGCCTTCTGGCCTCGATTGACGGTCAAGCGGATAAACTGTTCGTATAGTAGCGGGTTGCCGTAGTGTTTTACCACGGCCATTGCCGTCTCGGCTGGAAACCGACTTAGAAACCAACTCACGGCACCCGACAGCAGAGGGCCCAGAGCAGCTTTCGTCCGAGGCGACTCTGTCCCTTGATGCACGAATACATAGAGCTGGCTGAGTTTTTCAAGCAAGTCGGGGGTCGAGCCGATCTCATCAATGTCCACTTGATCGAGCTTCAGCTTCCTCTCGGACCCAATCTCGTCGATGCTGTTCTGACGGCTGTGCGGGCTCTCCTCGGAGTCGGCGTGTAGGACTTTCTCCGCGCCGACCCCGGGCGGTTCAGGGGTAGCTTCGCCCATGGCGGCAAGAAAGTCAGAGGTATGTTTGTCGACTGCCGTTTCCTCCGGAGGAGGCTGCTCAACCGCGGGCTCTTCCAAGTCTTGCGCAGCAGGGATGCCCAGGCAGAAGGCGCAAATGTCCTCAAGATCAGACCATGATGATATGCCAAGAAATCTAGATGCGAGAGAGCCGAAACCGGAGGGTGAATGGCCTCGGGATGCCCAAGCCTTGAATACTCTGACCGCTTCTGGGGTGTTTTGAAGACTGATCTCGGATCTGATCAGGGCAGCCACAGAATCGGCTGTCCACGCCTCCTCAGCAATCTCATGGAAAAGCTCCGAAATGCGCCAAGCCTCGGTCAGTCGTCGGGACTTGCCGAGAGCGGATATGAGACCGGGACGACGGCCAAGTTTCTCTTCGTCGGGAAGAGCCATGTAGTCTTCCCAGAGCTGCTCAAACGCCTCGATGCTTTCGGCGCTCTTGGAGTCGTCGACATCGGCTGGGGGGGAGTCGGGTTTGCGGGCACCCTCTCTAAGCTCCGCTCTTAGCGCGCCGCCCGAGACGCCCAGCGCTTCTTCCTCCCGCTCGGCTGCTGTCACCTCCCTCCCGTAGATCTGGATAGGTTGCTGCCCCTTGATCACATTTCGCAGCGCGTGTATCGGGAAGGCAATGTTGATGGGAGTTTCTGGTTGTGCTGGTTGTGCTGGGTCTTCGCTGCTATCCTCCGGAGGTGCCGCCTCTTCGCCTTCCTTGTCCGGCTTAGTTGGCTCCGGGGGCTGCTCATCCGAGTCGGCGCTAGAAGAGTATGCCCTAGCGGCCGCCTTAGCCACGGATCTGGGTCTCGGAAGTTCGTGTCTGTCGAGGAAGCAAGCGAGGGGTCCGGGCGAGGGCCGCTGTAGCAGGGACCGGGCACCTTGGGGGTAGAGGAAGTCGAAGAGGAAGACGGAGGCCATGAGGGGCGCGTCCCGGCGCGCGGGGAGGGACGAGACTGCGGCGACATGGGGGGTGGCGTCACCTGGCGGGGTGGGAGCGGCGAGTGCCTGCCATGCGGGCGAGAACTCGACGTCGGCGGCGCCGTGCCGCCAGAAAGATGTGTAGAGCTTGCGGCTGCTCCTCACGGCGGAGAGGGCCTTGCCAAAGCTGCATGGTTCCAGCACGGCCGCCGACCGCTCCAGAGCCGGCATCAGGGGACAGATTCGGATCGCCGAGGATGTCTGGTCGCTGCATCACACTATCATGATGATGGTGGCTAGTTGGGAAGCAAGATGCCAAACCCAGTCGAGCAGTAAAGGCACCCAAGGCGCCTCGTTACCGACCGCCGACTCCCTCTGGGTACGAATACCTGTGGAGGTGTTTGCAAGGGCGTTGGACGGCGAGTTGGTGAGCTGGGTGTTGGCAGGGTCTCTTTTTCCCCCCTGACTTGTTGCTCTTTTTTTTTTTTTTTTTTTTACATTGCTTTCTTTGACTTGTACCATGCCTGCACCTTTTGCGCATGCGACAGCTCCAATTCGTTGTTCGACAGCTCTATGAGCTGACACCCCTGACGCATGCACTTCGCGCGTCCTGCCTGGGTTTTTTTTTTTTTTTTACCCTTGTGGAAAAACGTTGATTCCGACGATTAGATAGCCATCGGGTGGCACGTGCGTGACTAGGCCCGCGGGGCTGGAGCTCCCCGCCCGAGGCTGTCAGGCGGGCGGGAAGGCTAAACAGCTCCAGCTAAAGGAATTAAAATGACGTTGGGCAAGCAGCCCCACAATTCTGGACTTCTCAGAGGGCTGTCAAGGGGCTGCAGCCACCAAGGGGTAGAGGGGCATCGTTGTCGCCAAGCACCCCACACAAAATGTGCGACCATCGGCCACAAGTAGCCCAAATCGCGACGACGGCCGCCCGCTCCCCGAGCCATCACGTTCGCGGCATCGGTCGCTACTAGCTAATCCAGCACGGAAGAGACACCGCTGAGGAACTGCGACCAGGCGCGCGCGCGCGAATTCTGCTGCAAGCAAGGCCGGGCGCTGCAACCAGCCGCCGCATATCACCTACCAGACCACGGACTGCGCCCGCCAGGCAGAGACCCACGCGAGCCACCGCCACGATGGACATCACCAGCTTTGTCGTCTCCTCCCGGGAGAAGGCTATGCTGTATGGCGACTATGCCACCTACCGCACCCAGCTTGCTACCAAGCTGCTCAACTGCCGCAAGAAGCTGAGCATCGCTGCCAAGAGCCGCTCCAAGTTCCAGTCTCGCCCGCTGCCTACCCCTGAGCTGCTGGGTCAGAACAGAGAATATCTTGTGCTGTACCTCCTGACGGCCGAGAGAGCATGGGCCCACGCGATGAGCATGAAGGCCGCCCATGCCGCCGACAACAAGGGCATCACGGGGAGCACGCGCTCCCACACTGTGTCTCGACTCCACAAGGCTGCCCGCACTGCTGAGCAGCTTGCGGCGGCGCTATCCGATCCCTCTAGCGGCGCTGACCAGGTCGATATCCTAGAGGCCACAGCCTATGCCGCCCTGCTGAGGGGAGCTGAGCAGCTGGAGAAGCAGAGCTGGGACCCGTGCCTAAAGAGCTATGCCACTGCCCGCGTCGTCTACAGCGTCCTCTCTGCCTCGACCCAGAAGGAAACATTTAAGGACCTTCTGTCGGAAACTATCGATCCTTCCATCCGCTATGCCGCCTACCAACTGAAGACGCCCAGGTCTCTCCCCATCCCGACCATTGCACGCAAGGCCTTTCCACATGATGATGAGACTCTTGTAGCCAGTATCAAGACTCTTGACCCCAATGCTCTGAGCGGGGAGGACAGTGGCGACAGCAAGGGAGACACCCCGCCAACCACCATCACCTTCCGGTCCCGCGAGGTGCGCATCGAAGATGCTGCCATCGCGACAGCCTGGCTTGCGCTGCAGGCCGCCAAATCCGCACTGGCCGAGAAACTAGCGGCCGGCGACTTGTCACCAAAGGATATGGCGGCGGCATACGACGACGTCCTGACGGCTAGTCAAGACTCAGTTGACGCCACCAAGCAGGCCATCGACGAGCTCAAAGCAGAGGGTGTTCCGCAGGGCGACCCACGCATGCAGAGCCTAGCAATCACCCGTACTGCTGTGAGCTACGAGATGATTAGCTGGCGCATCGGCCGCAACCGCGTCTTGACAGGAAGCAGAGATGGCTCTGTGGTCGAATCGGCGCCTCAAGCGAACAAGCGGAGAAAGATGGCCCCGGCGGACGATGCCGCCCCCGCCAAGCCTGAGCCAACCGGCCGCCAGCTTGCCAAGCTGAAGGAAAAGGCCGTTCTATATGATGGCACTCTACAGAGCTTAGAGTCTATCAAGGAGCTCCCTGGCGTCGCGGCCGACGGCGAGCTTGCAGCGCGACTTGACGCCACATCCCAATATTTCACCGCTCTCAAGTATGTTTCTCTCAAGACCATGTATATCTACGCGATACCGGTGACGCGATATGCTCACATCTCCTTCACAATATCTAGGTGCTTAGCGATTGGCCGCTCCCACATCATTGTGGGAAATCTGGTAAATGCGCTGGCTCTAATAAAACACGGCTCCGACCAATGTCAGCAGGCTGCACCTGTGTTGAGCGAGGCCCCGGCCTCACAAACCCACTCATCCCTCCGAAGCGTCGACGTACTACCGGAAGATGCCAGATTCCTCGCCGACCTACTAGCAGGAGAGGTGCAGCGCTACCGGGCGCTGGTCGAGATCGATAGCTTGCGTAAACAGGGCAAGGCTGGCGGCCCCAGAGGTGACCCGTCCCTGCCTCTGGCCGAGAGGCTGGCCCTATACCCCTCGGACAGCGTCGATCTCCAAAACATTGTCGCTTACCCGCCCAAGGTGGATCCTGTGCCGGTGAAGCCGGTTTTCATGGATATTGCGTACAACTACATCGACTACTCGCATCAAGGAAAAACGGAGGCGAAGGCGGCCGACAAAACGGCCGGCAAGGGGGCCGTGCCCGAACAGACAAAGAAGGGTTGGTTTGGCTTTGGTCGATGACAGAGCCATCCGGGTGGTTCTTGCGTCTGCACGCGATGTGAATACGAATGTCAGCGTCGTTCAGGGGCCGCGGCGGTGTTATCAGAGAAGCAGCCCGTGGCCCTTGACGATCGGACGACGTATTGCCAGTACATAGTAGCAACCGTTAGATCGAGGCTGGCGGGCACGAAATCGATGATGAATCTCAACGCTTGTTGGGTAATTTCTTGGGAAGATATAGTGTATGCTTTGTAGTGTGGATTATCCCTGGAGTCGACGCAGATGGATTCAGGAGGCAGTTGTGACATTGTATATTTGCCAAGCGTGGGTAAGTAGGTACTTACTAGGTATCTACCTGGTATCGACTCGGGTAATAGAGAATGCTTTCAACACTCTATCAAACACTGATGGAAAGTGAGATAAATATGCGCAATACAGTGATTCCACCTCGCCTTCTAAGAAGGACAGATCAAGAAGACGGACCAAGCTTGCAAATGTGAGACAGGAAACCCAAAACAATTACCAAAATTAAGACACAGATCCCTCTCTAAACCCCTGGCTTATCGATGCTTTGTGCTCCTACGGCAGAAACCCAAATCACAAATACCCGACATGCTGCCATGACTACCTGACCGCTCCTCGCCCAGTACCGGCTTTTCATCATTTCTTTAGCTTATCAAGCTCATCGGCAGAAAAGAAAAAAACAACAACGTGATATCGAGTCAATAAAAGCACCCAAAACTCCGCAAAAAAGCAAAGGTGCGATAAAAAAAAAGGCCAGGGACGCTGGATTAGAACTCCTCCACGGCGCAGTTGGGGTGTAGAACGTAGACGACATTGGCGGCCCGCGCTGCCGAAGAGCTCTCGCCACCGTCCGCAGCGGCAGCGGCAGCCTCGCCGTCAGCGGTCTGTGCTTCGACGGCCATGAGGATGTTTTCCTGTAGCGTGACGGAAAACGAATAGAGTCAGCATATGTGAAACAGCCAAAAGACGGGGAAAAAAGAAGAAAGAAAAAACACTGCTACTGACCTTGACCATCTTCTTGATGACCATGGTGGCCAGCTTCTTCTCCCTGTTGTAGTCCTCCTCGCTCGCCAACTCGTCCTCCTTCTGCTCCAGGAACCACTGCACAAGCTCGTCGCCGGGGATGCCCTCGCCGGAGCCGTTGACCTCGTCCTCGGCCACGCGCTGCACGAATATGTTGAGCATCGCGGCCCACTTCTCGTGCGTGATGGTCGTCGCCTGCTTGGCCGCAGCGGCGGCGGCAGCTGCGTCGCTCTGTTGCAGCTGCTGAGAGGCGGCCGCCGCGTCGTCTCCCATGGCGGCGTCGCCGTCGCCGTCGCCGTCGCCGCCGCCCTGGGCCTCGGAGGCGCGGCGCAGGGTCTCCTGACTGTCCTCCTCATCGTCCTCGAACTCGACGTCGTCGTGCTCGACTGAGATGATACTCTGGCGAAGCAGGTTGTACGCCTCATCAACCATGTGGGACGCGATCTCCTCGACGCAGTTGACCTTAGCGATGGCCTCGCTCAGGCGGATCATACTCTCCAGCTGGCGGACTGTAATGCGGTAGCTGTTCTTGCCGACGCCGCCTTGGGAATCGTCGGCCCGGAGTTCGCGGTACCGGTCCACGAGCACCTGCTTGGCATCGTCGGTGAACTCGGGCCGGAAGGTACGCGCGAAGCGGATGTAGCGCTGCAGCTGCTCCGTGCTGAACTCGGGCTCGATAGCGGCGTCGCGCAGCTGATGCAGCCCCACGATGTGCTCGGCCAGGTTGCGGTCGATGCGCTCGTTGCACTCGTCAAGCACGACAAAAAAGAGATCGAATCGCGACATGATGGGTGCGCTCATGTTGATGTTGGCTCGCAGAGTCGTCTTACGGTTGTACCGCCCTCCTACGGGGTTCGCGGCCGCCAGTATGGACGTGCGCGCATTGAGCGTGGCCTGGATGCCGGCCTTGGCGATCGATATGGTCTGCTGCTCCATGGCTTCGTGAATGGCCACCTGATCCGAGATGTCCATTTTGTCGAACTCGTCGATGGCGCAAATACCGTTATCCGCGAGCATCAGCGCACCCGCCTCGATAGTGAACTCTCCCGTCTCCTCATCCTTGACCACGGCAGCCGTCAAACCGGCGGCGGATGACGCCTTGCCTGACGTGTAGACGGCACGCGGCGCAAATGAGCACACGTACTTTAGAAATTGGGATTTGGAAGTCGAAGGGTCGCCCACGATACAGATGTTGATGTCACCACGCAGTTGCATCCCCTCAGCCGTTGTCTTGTGGACACCCGACATGAGCTGTAGGAGTAGACCCTTTTTGACCACATTGTGGCCGTAGACTGTGGGCGCAATGGACTGCACTATTCGGTCGTAAATCTTGTCACTGTGCACCATGGAACGCAGGTCATCGATTTCGGAAGAGCTGAAGGATGCAAGCACGGCCTCCTGTGCCTCGGCCTGTGACTCGGTCGAGTCTGAAGACGATGCATGCGTCAGCGCGGCGGCGATCTCGGCTGCGCCACCGCGGCTCGTCCCGCCGGCATTGGAGCTGTCCGGGCTCACCATACAGGCGAGGAAGGCGAGGCGGTAGGTGAGGTCGCGAACACCGAGCGCCTTGAGGCCCGTCACACCCGCGCCCCCGGCATCCGCACCGCGCGGGCCCTTATCATCCCTGACTGCGGTGGCCCGGATGCCAGGCAGGCCTAGCTGGCTGACGTCTGGCACGACGATAAGGGCGCCGGTGAATATGCACTTCTCGCCTGCCTTTGCCCGCTCGACGATCTCGCCACGCAAAATGACATCCATGGTGCGCGGCATGCTGCCCGTCGGGATTTCGCTGCTGTTTTCTTGGATCCGAACCTTCTGCCAGTCGACAAATGTGCTCTGGCGGATGTCGAGTTGCCATGCCAGGCGGTTCTGACAGGTTTCGTTGGGACATTGGGTGGGCTCGGTGTAGCGAAAGGTCTGCTCAACGTTTGGCACGATGCTCTTGCAGGCTTCGCAGGTGAAGGTGGCGAGTGAGAGCTCCGGGCGGACCTCGGACGTGCGGGTGACGGTGCCAGATATACTGAGTAGCTGGCCAATGTTCTTTGCGCGCAGCGAGCGCACGCGGCTGACGAGGGGAAGGTTGTAGATTGCGATACCGAACAGCTTGTCAGTCTGCTGGTTGCTGGTTTTAGAGCCCTGCTCTGTTTGGCTAGCAGAACCAGCGTTGCTGGCGCCCGAAGTTGTGACGTTACTGGAGGCAGTGGTGGCCTGGCGATGCTCGCGGAAGTACTGGGGCTCGTATTTCGCAATCATGTTGTGCAGGCCGGCGGTCAGGAACGGTAAAAAGCGGTAGTAATCGCGTACGATGGCTTCGGCCATGCTGCCGTTGTGCCACGAGGCCATATGCTTAAAGTCGACGTACAGCGTCGACAGCTGGTATGTCCTCATACCGTGAACCTGGGCGACGTAGTACTGGTTTGTTGTAACCGCGCTTGACGTGGGCGCCGACGAAGAGGGGTCCTCGGTGAATCTGTAGCGGCGAGCATTGCTGTGTATCAGCGAGTGCGCGAGATGGGTGGGGAGGAAGCGCATAGCAAAGAAGGGCGAGGCGCAGGAGAGGCGCGGGGGACATACTGCTCTATAAAGTTCTGGAAATGATCCTGGATCGCCAGGCCGACGCGATCCTCGACCCTAGGGATCACCTGGTCCGGCCGGCGAGCCCTGTTGGGGACCTGATCGTCGGCGAAGCCATCGCCCTCGTCGTCGCTGGGGTGGCCGTTGCTTTCTGAGGGCGGGGCGCGAGGGCGGCCTGGCCGTCTGGCGCCGCTGGATCTAGGCGCGGCGTCCGACATCATATAGCCAAAGTCGCTCCGCGGGGTCGCCGCCATGCTCATTGGGGTCGCCACCTCGCTCATTGGGGTCGCCATGGTGGGCTATGTTGATTCGTTGATTCGTCGCCGAGCTGGATATCACGGAGCAGTCGCAAGCCAGAAGTGGCGCCGCCTTGAGGTGGGATGTGATGGTGGGAGTGTAGGCTGCAGGCAGTATTGCGACAGCAGGGCGTTGCGATTGCCGCTGGGGCGACGCACGACCGCTTTGGTGGGATAGGCGCTGCACTATAATTTTCAGGGAGCCTCTTTGGCGGGGGCTGCCTGGTGGGTTCAAAAGATTCAAGAGCCGAATAGGAGCGCGCAACCACGCGTCAAGTCGCGTTTTCAGGAACAGGGGTTTAATTGACGCTAGCTCGTTTGTGATGGTTTCCCAGTCCCCAAAGCCAGTATCCCAATCGGCTCGAAAGTAAACACCTGGACAAGCTAACCCTAACCCATAACATCCAGCACCTTGACACCTGGTGCCCCTGAGCCTCTTTCGGCCAAGTTGGGATCATTCTCTAGTAGGAATGAATCTGTCGTTTTGCGCAGTTAGTAAGATGGGGCATATCTTCACAGATGGGTTGTAGGAACAAACCTGTTCTGATAGCGAGGTCCATTCCTCGATGCCCCTGACGTAGGGATCCGTCGATGCGTCTGCCGGCGCTTCGTGGTTCCACACGACCACCTCTTCGAATTCACCTTTGGTGGCCATCTTACTGGCGTCCGGCTCCTTCTCGGCTGCGTCGACGTCGATGGCCTCAGTCTCATCCGCCATTTGCGGCTCTGAAGAGGCGCCGCCTTTGCTCGTCTCAACCACTACCCCTTTGTACCCTTCAGGTACCTTGACGGTACTTCCCTGCAGCTTTCGCCCACGGAAATAAGCAGTCTTCTTCCCTGTTCATTATCAACCCCTTGGTTAGCGACTTCTCTGGGAAGACTTGGTGATCGCATACGCATACCATCGTTCTCCGTTGGTCTCCAGTAGGCCTGGATGGGATCAACTGGCCCGTCATGATGGACAGCACATGGTAAAAGGTTGACGGCGACCTTGAGTTGGTCCGTCTCTTGCGATGTGATCTGGAATTGCGGCTGTGACATTTTGAATTGGGCTGGTTATGTTGACGGGGTCTCAATATGATGCTGTATCGCCAAACGCTCCATCGGCCGCACAACAGCCCATTAAGCTCAATCAGCTGGACGCGTCTCATCGCGTCGCCTGGCCACACCGCCCCGCCACTTTAGGTCGCCCCAATGAATGTGTGTATGGGTGGGGCGATCTTCCCAACATCGAGCTCCCTTCGATTTGTTCTCGCCATCACGCATGTATCTTCTCATGATTTCTTACACGGACCTCGATGTAGAACACAGTCGCAATGGATGAGCCTTGGCCCGCATATACAAATCGCAGGTATTTAATGTGATGTCCGCATCAGCAAAACAAGGACAACAAGGTAATGGCGTTTACACGAAGATCAGAGCCCGCAAGAGATGCAGCGGTGAAGATACTAGAAGGAGGGGAGATGAAAAAAAAAAAAAAGTCTCAATGACAACACGGCGAGCAGCAAACCTAAACTGCAAGTACCCACGTTTTCCCGAAAAGGGGAAGCCAATGGCAGCATGTCCTGCAGACTCTTGTGTAATGATGCAATCCATGGATTTTTTTTAAAGTTCTCATTTGCATATGGCACGCGGTGACGCCGTAGATTCGCCGGCTCATTTCTCATCCGGTAAACATCACCTGGGAGTCCATAGCAAACGGCCGCCCGTGCCCGACTTACGCGCATCGGCACGACGGCTTCCGTGCCAGGTGGCATGCCGCCACCCCAGTGGGTGATGTTGCCGGCAGCCAATCCAGAGTGCTGATCACAAGCAACCCCGGTATCTCGGACAGATCATGCAGATGGCTGCGACAACGGGATACGACAACGGGATACTACCGCCAGCTAGAGGCGGTCTACAAGGTAGTAGCGCGATACCGGAAGCGCTTTGGTGACGAAACCCCCTCCCTTCGAATCAGATAACGACGGGCAGCCGGACCCTGCGCTGCAGCCACGAGTCGAGACCTCATGCAGATGCCCAGTCCGTCAAGCCGGCGGCTTGTGTCCTGTCCCGCAGGTAGGTCTAGGTCGCCAAGGGGCATGATGTCGCACTGACCGAGCAGGGTCGGTGAGACGGGGGCCAGACCTCTTCCGGTTAAGCACCATCTGATATCCCCCGTTTCTCCCCTCATCCTCCACTGCGCCGAGTTGGCACTGTTGTGGGCAGGAGAGCTGTCTCCCACCTCGCGCAAGTGAGCAATATCCAGGATCTATCCCAGACTCAGTGCCCAGCACCAGCCCTCCTGAGCCCATTTTTGTTCCATTTTTACTCCTCGGATCTGCGCCATATTCTTTCACTGTGCGTGTTTGCGCTTGGCTCGAAGCACAGAAAGTTCTTAAATCAGACGGGCGACTCCTCCGTGGCCCAGTAGAGCCATGTTGCCCTCTCTCTTCGCGCCGTTCTTGAAGCCATTGGCACGAGGCTTCGAGGAGGCTCGTGGCACCGTCGGCGGTTTGACTTGGGGCCCGGCCCTGGCTGTCGCAAAGCCAACCATCGAAGGGGTCTTGCGACAGATCCAGACCGGAACCTTGGTGCTTCTTGACGAGCCCGCAGGCCGCCGCCTGGTTTTCGGCCAGGAGCCGAGCAGCGAAGGCAGCCGGTGCTTGGACGTGGGCGATAAAGGACAAGCTCGGAGGACCAACGGGTGCAAGACCGAAAGCGCATCGGCCAGCGGTGCCGGGGCACCAAGGGTTGAGCTTGTGGTCAAGCGCGATGCTTTCTGGATGAGGCTTCTTCTCTTTGCCGATATGGGCTTCGCGGAGTCCTATATGCTCGGCGATTTCGAGTGCGCAGATCTAACCGCCTTCTTCCGGCTATTCATCATCAACCGAGAGAGGTTGGGAAACGGCGCCACGCGGTTCTCGTCGATTTCTAGCGCTATCACGAGCCTAGCAAGGACAACAAACGCGCTTGGGAGCTCTCTGCTGAACATCTCGGCGCACTATGACATCAGCAATGATATGTTTGCTGCCTTCCTGTCGCCAGACATGACATACTCGTGTCCAATCTGGAGGGCGGTCGGCTACGGGAAGTTGGCGGCAGAGGAGGGCGAGGAGTCGCTCGAGGAGGCGCAGATGACCAAGCTCCACCGGTTCATTGATGGGGCGCGGATAAAGCAGACGGACCACGTGCTCGAGATCGGCACCGGCTGGGGCTCGTTTGCTATCGAGGCTGTCAGGACGACGGGGTGCAAGATCACCAGCCTCACACTCTCAAGCGAGCAAAAGGCGCTGGCCGAGGAGAGGATATCGGCCGCCGGACTCTCGGATCAGATTCAGGTGTTGCTAATGGACTATCGGGAGCTCCCGGTGCCCGAGCAGAGGTTCGACAAGATAATCTCCATCGAGATGATCGAGGCTGTCGGCGAGGAGTTCCTGAGCACGTACTTCGCTCGCATTAACCAGCTCCTCAAACAAGACGGCGGGATCGCCGTGTTCCAAGCTATAACCATGCCTGAAGGGCGACACGAGGCCTATTCGAAGAGAGAAGAGTAAGTCAGAGCTAATGCTGTGTAGCTTTTCGATATCAGATCTGTATGTGGAACACGAGAAACTGACGAGATCTGGCAAGCTTTATAAACAAGTACATTTTCCCTGGAGGCTACCTTCCCTCGACCACACAGCTTCTCCATCATATCACCAAGGAGTCCCATGGCACGCTTATAGTAGAGAGAGTTGAGAACATCGGCGGACACTACACCAAGACCCTCCGTCTCTGGAAAGAAAGCTTTCTCGGCAGCTTTGACGCCAGGATCAGACCGGCGCTGAAGAAAGAACACGCCGACATGACGGAGCAAGAGATGGACGTTTTCAGAAGGAAGTGGGAGGTAAGAGAAGACGACTGTTTTTGCCCCTCGCGACTAAAGTAATGTTACTTGATCAGACAAGTTGACGTTCGGCGTTCGACCTAGTACTATTTCACTTACTGTGAGGCCGGGTTTCTCACCAAGACATTGGGAGATGCGATAATAACTGTCGGCCGAGAAGGCGCGATGGAGCTGATGGAGGGAATTCCATTGTAAGAAGTACGGTCGGGAGGTGTTCTGCTTTGCGGTAGATTTGGAAATACCTCGCGAGGTAATAGTGGTCATCAGTTATTGGATAGGTTCCCCATCAGGTCCTGCACTGAGTCTCGGCGCCCACGAAGAAAGGTATTTGGCAATACTAAAGGCAGTTACGAAATGGTCATGGCAGCGAGAAGTTACATACGTATTTCCATGCTGTATGTTGGCAACTGGTTCGGGAGAGAACTCTCGCCTGTCTGGGTATCTAATACTTACTATTTCATTCCTCGAAGCCACCCGGCCCAAGCACATCAATGTGGATCAGTTCTTCTTTTTCTTCTTGGTCTTCTTCTTTGCAGACGCGCCCTTTTTTGAAGGCTGCGAGCCGGGCTCCGAAAATTTGTTCATACACTCGACGTCAAACTGTGACTTGTACCGCCTGAAGAGCAGCATAGCGACGCGCGCATCCTCTATGCTCGAGTGCGTCCCGTCCTGTATCTCGAGGCCCAGGATCTCCCGCGACAGCACGCGCAGCGCCGGCTTGGGCCCGTGGCCGTACTTTTTAAAGCCGGAAAACTTGGCCGTGTCCCTGACGGCCCGGTGCGGGTGGTCCAGCTCCAGGGCGGCGAGGTCGTGCTTGACGTCGTGGCCGACGATGATCCTCCCCGCAAGCAGGGCGGCGACCTGCGCCTGGACGTCGGCGAACGGCCTCGCGGCGACCATGTCGCGTGGGCCGACGCCGCTCACGTGGGTGCGCCAGTCGGTGACGCGCTGGCGCGGGCGCACGAGCGAGTCGTAGACCTGGGCGCCGTGGAAGTCAACCAGGCTGACGCGCGCCAGCGCCGACTCGTGGCCGCCGTCGCCGACGCCCACCATCTCGCAGTCGATGCCGACGTACTTGCCGAGCCGCTGCTGCTGCCCGTCCTCCTGCTGACCGCCCCCTCCCTCCTCGAAGCCCGGGGCGAGGCCCTCGTTGGGCCTGGACGGGGCGCCCCGGAGCGCCGAGTCGCCCCGGAGCCCCAGGCCGTAGGCCTCGGCGACGGCCTCGGCCGAGATGTCATTGTCCTCGGCCCAGAGGGCGAGCGAGGGCGTGACGCTGGTGGGCGCGGCGTGGGTGACGCGGGAGCTCTGGGACACGCCCATCCCGTTGCTGCCGCCGCCGCCGGAGAGCGGTGCCGTCTGTGTCGCGGCCGCCTTCTTGGAGGGTGGTGGTGGCGGCCGCTTTGTGCTGGGTGGTGCCAAAGGTTTTTGCTTCTTCCTGGGCAGCGAATCTTTGGTTGATGTTGACGGGTCTGTGGCCTTCCTTTTCACCCCAGGCTTGGCTGCCCCAGGCGCTGCCTTTAGCTGTTCTTGGAGTTTCTTCCAGTTCGAGGATAGCTCAGGTGCCATGATGGTCGTTGTTGGGTTGATTCAGCCCGGGGTTTGTCAAGTCTCAATTTTCCGCGCGTGAGATGCAGCCGACTCGGAGGGTTCCCATCCAGCAAGGTCGGTAGGTGGTATTTATGATATGAATGCACCGTATGGTCACCTTGTCAATGGAGTTTTCGATCCCATTTTCGGTATCTCCAAATTTCCTCGAGGCTCTAGTGGAGCACCGAAGAATTTGAGGTCGGGCGATGTGATGAAGCCTGCGGTTGAGATTGAGAGAAAGATGCGACAAAGGCAGACACGGCTGGGCCCGAAGCTGGTCGTTCTCAGCTGGAATTGAGGCGGCCAATCAGCCGCATCGCTGGAGCCCAGTGGCAAGTCAGGCGCTCTGGGTCAAACGAACCCCTGGAACCAGCATTTGCCCCGCTGAATTTTCTAGAACAAGGCGTCGCAACACGCTGATGCGACGGGGGAATTTCCAACGGTCGCATCAATCAACATCTTTGCGACCTCAGCAGATTGTCAGGAATCCATCCGTCAAAACACCACCCACCACGGGCCCTGCATCAGATTCGTGCGATTTTCTATCAAGCGCTGGCCTAGTGCGATTGGACACATCCCATAATGAGCCTGCACGCGACGGCCGGGGATGGCGCGGCTGTGGGCTCGAGCGAGCCGCGGCAGAAGGGGCGGGCGACGGCGGACACGCTGCTGGTCGGGTGTATCGCGTGGGTGGAGAAGGAGGGCCAGCCGCGGCGGGCAGAGATCCTGAGCATCAAGGAGACCAAAAGCGGGCGGCAGTTCTACTGCAACTTCGACAACTTCAACAAGCGCCTGGACGAGTGGGTCCCGCTCGCCCGCATCGACCTCGCCCGCGACGTCGAGTGGCCCAACCCGGACAAGGACAAGCCCAAGGACAGCAAGGTCTCCAAGAAGGGCGCCTCCTCCGGCCAGCCCTCCAAGAAGAACCAGCCGCTTAAGCGCGGCCAGAAGCGGCCCATCGGCAAGCGCGAGCAGTCGGTCGTGTCAGAGGCCGGCACTCCCACCACCGCCCACCCCTGGTCCGACTTTGTCGAGTCCCAGGGCCAGCTGAAGACGCCCCTTGCCGAGACCCCCGTGGCCGCCACTCCGGGCGACGACGCGGGCGATGACCGGCTGATCCCCGCCGGCCAGCCCGCGTCGGCCGCCGTCGCCGTCGTCACGCCCGGCGGTGTCAGCGACGACATGGACACCACGGCCGTCGGCGACGACGACAAGGCCGGCGGCGGCGGCAAGGCGGACGGCCACCCGTCCTTCAGCCGCGAGGAGGAGATCGAGAAGCTGCGCACGTCCGGGTCCATGACGCAGAACCCGACCGAGGTCTCGCGCATCCGCAACATCTCCAAGATCCAGTTTGGCAAGTTCGACTTGTATCCCTGGTACTTCTCGCCCTACCCTGAGGCCTTCTCGATGGAGGACGTCATCTTCATCTGCGAGTTCTGCCTGTGCTACTACGGCGACCCCAAGTCGTTCGCGCGCCACCGCCGCAAGTGCACGCTGCAGCACCCGCCGGGCAACGAGATCTACCGCGACGAGCACGTGTCCTTCTTCGAGATCGACGGCCGCCGCCAGCGCACGTGGTGCCGCAACTTGTGCCTGCTGTCCAAGATGTTCCTCGACCACAAGACGCTCTACTACGACGTCGACCCCTTCCTCTTCTACGTCATGACCACCAAGGACGATAAGGGCGACCACCTGGTTGGCTATTTCTCAAAGGAGAAGGAGAGCGCCGACGGCTACAACGTGGCCTGCATCCTGACGCTACCCCAGTACCAGCGCAAGGGCTTCGGCCGCCTGCTGATCCAGTTCTCGTACGAGCTCTCCAAGATCGAGGGCAAGCTGGGCTCGCCCGAGAAGCCGCTGTCGGACCTAGGCCTGCTGAGCTACCGCCAGTACTGGTCCGAGATGATCATGGACCTGCTCATCAGCTACCACGAGCGCGACGAGCGCTGCAGCATCGAGTCCGTCGCCGCCCAGCTGTCCATGACCACGCAGGACGTCGAGCACACGCTCCAGGCCCTGCGCATGCAGGCCTACCACAAGGGTGAGCACAAGATCGTCGTGCCCGAGAAGCTGCTCGAGATGCGCGAGAAGTCAAAGACCAAGCAGAAGAGGGTCATCGACCCGGACCGCATCCAGTGGAAGCCGCCCGTCTTCACCGCGGCCTCGCGGACCTGGGGCTGGTGAGCCAGGAACGCTTGGCATGTGCACGAGATTTGCAATGGTGGTCTGAAGGGTTGCGCTGCTTCACTTGAAACCCCGACCATTTCAGCTGTATATATTCACATATTCACCGCGCTCGCTATGAAACCACCCCACACCCCCCGTCCTTGTCAGGGCGCAAAACCCATAGATACCCTATTTATCAAGCAGATCTTTTATACAAATCCAAACGCCTGCTGCACCTCCTCTGCCTCCTCCGCCGTCGGCGGCCGATCCCGCAACCCCCGCAGCACCCTCGCCAGCCTCTCGACGCCCTCCACCAGCCGCTCCTCGTCCTCCCACGAGTAACACAGTCTGAGGTTGTGAGGGAACCGGACCCTGGCGCCGTCTTCGCCGTCGGCGGCCCGGCCGCTGCCGTCGTCGCCCTTGACCTGGAACATGTCGCCCGCGGCCACCACCAGGTTCTCGTCCGTGAGCGCCCGCCTGGCCACGATGGGCGCCGAGACCGGTTCGGGCAGGGTCAGCCAGACAAAGTACCCGCCGTAGGTGGACCGCGGTTCCTCGAAGCGGACGCCGAGCGGGGCGAGCTCCGCCCGCAGCGCGCCGAGGAGCACGCCGTGCCGCCGCTGCAGGTCCGGGCGCACGACGCCGTCGACATGGGCGGCCAGGGCGCCGGTGCGGATCATGTCCCACTACAACTTGTGTTTAGTTCGACTTTGTATCGGCATGTACAAGAAAAAAAGAAAGAAAAAACTCACAATCATAACCGCGGCAAGCTGGCTCCCCGCCCCGCCGCTCCTATTTGCGCCCGTGTGCGCCAGCCCGGTGATGAAGGCCGGGGTGCCCTCGGCCCAGCCGGTGCGGACGCCCGGCGCGACCATCTTGCTGAAGGAGCCGTTGCTGACGGCGTGGCCGAAGCCGCCGGCGTCGTGCCGCCCGGGCCCCAGCTCGGCCGCCAGCGCGCGGTCGACGTCGACGAGCCGCGGCG